GGTCATTCCCAGTGACTACCATATTTTCAACATACACGATAAGAACAGTAACTTTTCCATTGTTTTTAATAAAGAATGTATTATCAGCATTTCTTCTTTTATACCTGATTTTTCATGAAGCTTGAAAACCTTCTGAACCATTCTCGGGGGGATTGCTTCAGACCATATAATGCCTTCTTCAGTTTACACACCTTTCCACTACTTTTGACTCCAGGAGGAGGATCCATGTACACTTCTTATTCTAAGTATCAGTTCAAGAAGGTGTTTTTTACATCAAATTGCTTTAGAGGCCAATCTTGGTTGGCTGCAATCGAGATTAAGATTCAGATTGTGTTAATTTTGGCTACAGGGGAAAACGTGTCTCCATAATCGATCCTGTATTTTTATGTATATCCTCGGTCCACAAGTCTCCCCTTGTATCGATCTACGTTTCCTTCTGAATCTAGTTTCACCATACATATCCACATACATCCGACCGTTTTTTTCCGAGAGGAAGTCTCACAATATCCCAAGTTTGGTTCTTTTCAAGAACCTCCATTTCCTCGTTCATGACTTTCTTCCATTTTCATCTTTCATAGCCTCCTGTACATCATTTGGTATTGATAAGGTGGACAATTTTTCAACTACCAACGCATGTGGAGACGCAAGGCGGTGATGTGACACATAATTTCCGATTGGATACCTTGTCTTTCCCGTTAGGTGTAATTGGTATTGTTTCTTTGGAACACCCCGGTTGCTTCTGGTCAGATATCTAGCTTGGGATGTGTCATTCATTTCCTGCAAGACAGAACCAGATATGGTATCTAGAATATTAGTATTATTAGGAGAACCATTAGCTACCTCGGGATGATCGATAGTGATAGAGTCGATTTCATTGGTATTCTCGGCCTCAGCTGTGGTTGTACTATCTCGGTTATCTTCTTCTTCAATTTCGGTCTCGTAATTACCCTCTTCAGGGGTGTTCTCAAAGGTGGCATGTTCAAATGTTTTGTGTATAGTTGTGGCATTCTTATTGACATGGAGATCAAAATTCACGGTAGAATCTATTCGTTGGTATTGTGGGTTCGCTTCATTTTGTTTCTCCCCCTGAAGCGGACTCGCATCTCCAAAGTATTGAATGGTCTCGTGAAAGGATAGGTCACATATCACATGCATATTTTCCATGATTGGATCATAGCACCGATACCCCTTTTTTTGATCTGCATGCCCCAAAAAATGCATCTGATCGCCCTTGGCTATAATTTTCCTATGTTCTAATGAACATATATCGTGTACCCAAAAATTATTGGTTCGATTTCGTAATTAACCTGCATGTTCACCAGTTCATGTAGCTTTTGTAATGGGGTTATGAAATCTATCACCCGTTAAGGAGTTCCATTCAAGAGGTATGCAACTAATGGGGTTATGAAATCTGTCAGTTTTGTCTTTCTGCTAACCCATTTTGTTCAGGTGTTCCTATACATGAAGTTTGACGTCGAATGAAGTTTTCTTTACAAAAAAAGTTGTGTTTCATGGTTTATATATTCCCCGCCATTTTCAGATTGTAATATCTGAATTTCCTTTCGATACTGAGATTTGATTAGAGATGGGCACAAAAACCGGATTGGGCTCTAGGATCCGATCCGATCCGAAAACCGGATTTGGTCAAAACCGGTTTTGACCGAACCGGATCGGATTAAACCGGCCACCGGATCGAAACCGGATTGCGTATTCGGACAGCATTTCGGATTGACCCTCGGATTGAGAACCGAATTAGGTTCAAACCGGATCCGAAACCGGATCCGATCCGGTTTTTTTTTTTACCGTTGAAATTTCGGAAATTTGAATTTTTTTTTTTTTTTTTTTATAGCCGTTGGAAAGGGGAAAAAACGGCTAGTTTGACTTTTCTTGACTTTTTTGCCCTTCCAAACACATATAAATACAACCTATTTGCTCCATTTACATTTTACACACATTTCTACTACTTTCTACTTCTACTTTATACTTTTATTTTCATAATCTTCCAAGAAATGAGCTCCCGAAATTCTACCGCGGCTCAAGAGTCGGATGCAACGGTGGTTAAAATCTTACCAACCACTCGGAGTAAAGATGTTTGGGAACATTACGATTTGTGTTTGTTGTCGAACGGGAAAGAAAAAGCAAGGTGCAAGCAATGCGGGATGTTTTTGGGAAAAGATGGCAATAGTACGTTGAGGAGTCATACAACAAAAACGTGTCCGGTTGTAAAAGGTCAAGGCGATCCGGATCAACCAAATATTACTCCCGACGGTTCGATCTTTATTTACAACAATGATGACATTCGTGAAAGCTTTTGCAAGTTCGTCATTCAAGAGGGCTTGCCTTTCAGCCACTTCGACAACCCACGATTAACAAGGATTTTGCGGGAAAAAATGCAACCACAATACCGGCAAGTAAGTCGCACTTCTCTTAGACGTGATGCTTTAAATTATTGGGATATAGCCAAAAAAGATATGCAATTGGGATTTTTAAATATCAAAACCGGTGTTTCTTTAACGTGTGATGTTTGGTCCTCCACCGGTAGTTGTCCCAAAAGCTATCTTGCCGTCACGGCACATTGGATAGATCCCACTACTTGGGTAATGAACAAACGAGTTATTGCTTTTGAACTTTTTGCGCATCCTCACACGGGGGCACGATTATTTGCAATTTTAGTAAGCGTTATAGAGACTTATAATTTACGCGACAAAATCTTCTCTATTTCGTTTGACAATGCAAGTAAAAATACCGTCGCGGCAAAAAGATTAATTGCAAAATATAAACCTATTTTGGATGGCTCGTTTTTTCATACTAGATGTGTTTGTCACATTATTAATCTTGCGGTACAAGATGGTTTAAAAATGATAGATTCGACGATTGAAAAATTCAAAACTGTGTTAACTAGAGTTTTTGGAAAAAATAAAGCTACAATGGAAAAATATCGAAAGTTTGCCATTTCCATAAACGTAACTCCATATAGTCCTCATTGGGATGTTGACACTAGATGGAGTTCAACATGTATGATGTTTGAAAGTTTGACACGTCAAAGAATCGCTTTACAATTATTTTACGACACAATTTCAAATGGAAAAAATCCGGTTTCGGATTATGATTGGGATTTGATGGAAGAGTTTGTGGAAATGTTAAAAGTTTTTAAACAATCAACCACTTTTTTATCGGGCGTGTATTACCCTACAAGTCCGTTGTTACTAAATGAATTATGGTTGATGTCTGCACAATTGGAGCGTTTTGAACAAAGAAGTGAAATATTTGTTTTGGTTACGAGACCAATGAGACAAAAACTAGTCAAATATTTCAAAGAAATGCCACCACTTTTTACTTGTGCCGCGGCATTAAACTCATGTATCAATGTTACGGGTGTAGAGGCTTTGATTACCAAAATTTCTATGTCTTTAAATTTGCACAAAGATGACTCAAACTACATCCGTAACCAAATACACACTTTTAATAATACTTTTACTAATTTGTTTGACATTTACGCTACAAAGTATGGCGATATGTCAAACACTTTTGCAAGTGTAACCGACTCTACTAGTGGTGCATCGGGTAGTGGTGGGGGTCGAACGGATTTTCATATCGACCTCTATAACTACCTTTTGGAGGAACAAAACAAAAGAGCACGCACATTAACCCCTAGTAGCGAACTTGGAATTTATATGGGGTCAAATTTTTTAAAATTCATGAGTGCACCACAATTTAAAAATTTGGATCTTTTGGCTTGGTGGAGAGAAAAGGAAGCACAATTTCCTATTCTCTCCGTCATGGCCCGCGATTTACTAACCGTCCAAGCTTCCACGGTAGCTTCGGAATCCGCTTTTTCTTTTAGTGGTAGAGTTTTATCAAAGTTGAGGACGAATCTTACCCCGGTTGCGGTAGAGGTATGCGTTTGCTTGAAGGATTACTTGGATTCGGTGGAACGTATACAACACTTGGCATCACTAGAAGGCCCACTACCACAAAATGTTGAACCGGAGATCATGGATGAAGAATATGCACAAGGCTTATCAACACCTCCGGAAGACGAAGACGAAGACGATGACGATGAAGACGAAGACGAAGATGAAGAATATGGTATTGATGACACCCCTACTTATTTGCGTGGCGGTTAAAGAATATTTTAGTGAAGGCGACACGAAGTGGAAGACCACAAAAACTATTTCTATTTGGCTAAACGTTATAACGCCACTTTATTATTATTATTATTAGTTAACTAGTTTAAAAACTCTTTCTAATTCGACGTTTGATGTATGTTTTAACAATTTTAATGAACCTATGTTGCATTTTATGTTATATATGAGGTCCAAAAAATGTTTTTTTTTTTTTTTAAAAAAAAAAAACCAAATTCGGATCGGATTGTAACCGGATCGGATTAAACCGATTCGGATTGGGGCCTCGGAAAACCGGTCAAATCCGGTTTGAAACCGGTTCGGATTATTGGCTTATTCGGATCGGCTATGACCTCGGAAAACCGGATCGGATCCGGATCCGGATCGGATCGGATCGGATCGGGTCTTTGTGCATCTCTAGATTTGATGATGTGGTGTAGTTCCTTGAATGTATAGTGTACTTCCCCTTTGTTTTTCAGAAGTGAGATCCAAATCATTCGTGTGCATTCATCAACAAAGGTTACAAAATACCGTGCAGCGTTAGGCGTCGGAATCCAAGCTGGACCCCATACATCTGAATTTATAGTCATAAAAGGAGTTAATGTTTTACTAAAACTAAGAAAATACGATATTCTTTTGTTTTTTGCTAACTCAGAAGTGCAACACTTAAAATCACTGTCCATTACATTCAAAAATAAATTTGGTTTGAGCTTCTTGAGGTAATTAAAGGATAGATGCCTGAGTCGGCGATGCGACAACCAAGCCACGTACAGGTTTGCTTTACTTATTCCAGTATGATGCGCTTGACGCTGATGGTTTTTTCGAGATAGTACAACCGCCCCCGCCTAGTACCATAGCCTAGAATCTGATGTGTTGTCATATCCTGAAAGACACAATCATTTGGCCAAAAAATCATATAACGATTAAGAGCTTCCATAATCTGACTAACATATAGTAAATTAGACGATAAGGATCAAACAACTAGGACGGAATCAAAATCCATTGAGCTTGAAATTTTCACGGATCCTTCACCTGTTACAGGTGCAGTACTTCCATTCATGGTGTATATGTTTCTTTGTTTTGGGGAAAAAGTTGTCATTATTTTCGAGTCATTTGTCATATGGTCAGTGGCGCCGGTATCAATCATCCAACCATTATTTGAGGAGTGGTTAAGATGTGACATGCCGGAGTTGGTTGACGTGTGAGTTGCTATTGGAGTGATAACTTCCTCGGATTGAGATGACTTTGCAGCAGTTATCTGGCTGATTTTTTCGTGGCTTCTTAGTAAAATCTCATCATTGAGGATATCTGATAATCTCATAGCATCGGATTTTGAGTGACCTTTCTCCACAGTGCGTACACGTAAGTGTATTCCCCTTCCGATTTGTTTTTTTTTTTCACATTTGTGTTACGATTTCGAGTGGCTAGATGAACCACACTGTCTGATTCGGTTTTTGGTACTTCTATGGTTTGTATTTGATTTTGATCTTTTCGGATGTAGGCATAGCATGAATCCAGATCAAGGGATGGGTCTTTACTAAGGACTTCGCTCCTTGCTTGATTAAATTCCGGATCTAGTCCAGCCAAGAAGATGTGTACACAAAGGCGTGATAATGTTTTGTTTAGGGTAATTTTTTTGAGTGATAGTGTCTTCTTGAACATTTAAGCGGGTATCAATTTCTTGAAATATGCTTACCAATTCATTGAAGTAAACAGATCGAGATCGTTCATTCTGGCGGGTGGTGAGGGACCTCTGGTTCAGTTCAAATAACTGAGTTTCGTCTGTTCCATCATAAAAGGTTTTTCTGACTGCGTCCCAGATCTCATCCGCCGTTTGCAAACGAATAAAATGACGCATCATGGGTGGACTCATCGAGTCAATCAACCAACTTTTAACTCGATGATTGTCGATGAGCCATGCTTCAATCTTCTTTTCATCAGTCTTCGGTCGCTCCCGTGAGGTACCTGGATTTGTTTCGTGCTCCATTAATCTGCATCTCCATTAATTGTGACCAAAAAGGATAGTTCTTGTCATCGAGAATGACTCCGGTGGGGAAAGGTGCGTCTTGAACATTCTCACTTGCAAAGTGTTCGATGCTTCCCTCATTGATACGAGAATTCTGAGGTTTCGTTAGGATTTCAGGGTGATGAGGTATGCTCTGATACCATCTAATTTCGAGAGTTTTGGTAGAAAAAATCTTCTGTATTTTTTCTATATATTTTACCAAAGAAGAGTACAAATATTTATACAAGGATCAACTAACTATCTATGGTACAACTAAACACCGCCAAGTTTCCATGTTTGGCTCTCGCTAAAATTTATTACATTATTGTTGTTATATCATAATACTTTGAACATTAAAATTATCACGTGGTATATTTTCCTTCTTTCTTGATGTTTATTTCTCGTTAGATTCTTTAGTTTGACTCAAACATCAAATACATAATTGAAATTTCTTCATCAAATGCTAGTAAAATGATCTTCATAAAGTAAGTGATCATCGTACAATGTTCAAATTAATGATAATTTATATGACATTATGACCATGATTGCATTACACGATTGCGTTCTTGTGGACGAGTCCCTTATCAAATTCTTCTTATTGACACAACCACGTGAAACTCGATCAATTTGTGTTCCAAGAATGTGAAAGCGCTCGTATGTTAAGTGGCGAAATATCATTTAAATCTCCATCTAATAGACGTTTTGCTATGATGACATTCACACTGTCAGTAACATGATAAGAGTCCCAGAAAACGTACTTTGATCTATCTGGACAAATCTTAGCGTATGGCAAACATGGAAGTAGACCACCATGTGAGCCCAGCACGTGGCAACATGCACTATCTGCGATTTCAAAATCTACAACAAGAAAAAAGCAACTCATTAGTGCTATAACCATGACTTACAAAAAACTATCACAATAGATTCGAATACAAAGAGAATACTTGTATTGTGTATGGTGAGCATAAGAAAGTTCCGACCACTTAGAAAAAACTACGAAAAATGGCTACTTTTTTTCCTCTTCTCTACAATTACTCACCGTATGATCTATAGTTTTGGATGATATCGTCGACGATACGATACACATCTGCATAAACAAATGTCGATCCTTTGAGTGTGGCTGTAAGTTCTATGAGCATCCCTTTCAACAGGTGATTGAATTGTTGTGCTACGAAATTTTGAGAGGCTACACACCCTTTTCCAGTTGAAGGATTATAATCCCTTTCATATGGGATGCATCCAACAGGAGGAGCATTTGTGACGATAATCTTTCGAGCACCAAGATCATAAAGTTTCTGTACACAATAAATAAAACGGTCCAAGGTTAAGCAACTCGTATAACCTTACAACAAATATATATTCTTTAATACCAAAAGGCTTATAGCCGTAAGTTGGATCGGATAAATATACCGTAAGTTGCCTTCTAAATGCTGAAATCAGGGTTTCAATGAAAGTTTCAGGTGGTGGTTGATTCTTGATCAGGCTTGGTAGGAAGTAGTTATTGATAAAATCGTTTGAACTAGTTGTTACTTGGAAGAGAGCAGTAGCGAACAACTTAAGTGTTGCAGGAGCACCTATGCTTGAGATTATGTCGAGCCTGGTCTTTGCAAAGTTGTCCAGTTGTGCATCCATTGGGATTCTCCCAATCTTTAACAAAAGATAAAACACCAAGTTTAAATCCAGTAAGAAAAACCATTTAATTAAACTCTCACTGAGTAAAACTCGTGGAATTTGTAAAGAAACGCATTGCAGTAAACAGACATGGGGCTTACATAGTTTGCTCCTGATTCATCAAGGATTCCACTAGCACCAGAAGCATAATTGACGCCTTGTAGAACTACCGGTCCAACGGTGGTGGGAGCCAGGTATGGTGGAGGAAAACTTTTAAAACCCAATAGTTGTCCTGTGGAAAGAAAAGTTAATAACAATGGAAGTATATATAACGTATTTCTTAGCTAAAGGTAAACAATAAAGAAGAAAACATAAGTTGCCTAAAATGTCGGTAACAGTTCTTCCATTCGTAAATCGTCCTGTTGCCTTCCCAAAATCTACACCGATGGGGTCATGATCAGCCTTGGCAATAGATGGTATGTAGTTGTTGTTTCCCACATCCACCAGCGAATCACCAAAAACAAAAATTGCTGAGAAATTTTGAGCCATGCATATTTTTCGACAAAGCGTGACTATGAAAATTGTGGACAACAACCACCAACACGACATGGATCAAAGCAATAATTCCCTCCAAGAAAATTTGAAGTAAGAGTATAGTCATATACGGAGTTAAGAAATGAAACTCGATTAAAGTTTATGTGAGACTCATGCCCTTATGGTTGGATGGATTTTGGACGGAATCGCCTTTTAAAAATATACCATTTCTGTAGATACAAAAAGGTGGGTGGTTTAAAGAGTTACTGAGCAATACCGAAATTGGGTGTCAATTAAAATTTATTTACATGAAAATTGAGGAGCTAGTAAAAGTTTAAAATTTGGTTCATAAAAGTAGTCCAACAGGTTAACAGTAGCCCATGACATAATTAATGTTTTTGTTAAAATAAAATGTAAGTAGTTATTTTAATAATGTCTTGTAATTTATATTGAATATGTTAATTATTTACTAAATTCAAAATATACACAAATTTGTGTGGATCACGAACGGGCACATTTTTGCCCCATCTAAAACTTTACCCAAGTTATACCCAAACCCAACGCGTAAATACCTAAAGGAATAGCCTATAGGGTACGGTGCTTTGTTTTTGGATCATAAAAGGAGGAAGGCTACATCTTGACGTATATTGATACCAACAACTAAAAGTAAAAGAACGAAATATCCCATTAGCAACGTTTAATGCAAGATATGGGCACTACCTAATATAAATTATTAGTTATGTCATTTGGATTATGAATTCACCAACTAAGTTGCACGGAAACAGATACGGCAACAGAAAACGGATATGGAACGGAAACGGGAAACGGCAAAACTCAAAAATTCAAGATACGGATACGGCTGAGATACGTTAATATAAAAATATAAAAATATAAAAAAACATCTAGTGAGAGATCGGCAACCTCCAAAAACCCTACATCTTCCATTAAATCAAAAGCATCTCCACTCACATCCCACATCTTTACATCATCATTCGGAGTCCTTGACAAAAGTCGGAGATTATTGTGGATGTAAACCAAGTCTTGAGCACGACTTGTAGTCAACTTGTTCCTCTTAAGCGAGTGAATAAATGCATAAGTACTCCAATTACGCTCAGCACAAGAAGAAGAACTAGGTTGTCCAAGTAATCTAAAAGTCAAAGTCTGGAGTAAAGGAGTTTGAGCACCAAAGTTAACCCACCAATTCTTGGGTTCCATAGTAGTCATCTTTGAAATATTTGTTAACTCTTCAAAATGACCACTCTTCATTGAAAACATTGCATACTCATCAAGGACTTTTCTATACTCATCATCATTGGGAAACAACATTCGAAAACATTTCATTATTTCTTGTGAAATTTCTCCATCCCTATGTGGAGCACATCTTGTAGAATCCTTCAGTAACCATGCATCAGTATAATATCTACAACATTCAAAAGTTAAAACATAAATATATAATAGAAATTAAGTGTATAATTTAAAATCTTACACCTTGGATGTAAAGAGTGAGCTAAACAATGTAGGGGAGTGTCATTCTTCGCCCATCGAGCCACTAAAATACGATGCACAACATTATAAAAGCAATTTATTTGAGATGTCAGACATTTTTCTTTCTTGTAGATCTCAATCTTCACTTTCTCAATCATAGAATCCCACATCTCATACACCAAGTGTAAACATGGCTTGTCGGTGTCACAAGCTCTAATCATCTCATATATAGGTCCAGTGAAACTAAGAATATATGCTACTTTGTCTCACCAATCATCATTCAAAATAGTATTTCATAGAGTTTGCTTTCTCAGTGTCATCTAATCTATAAGAAGGTCTTTCTTTGCTTATGACCATATCTTGAAGACGCTTTTTAATAAGTTTCAATCTCGTGAGCATCACAATGATGGAGGCAAAGCGAGTGTCGGCAACCGAAGGCAGTCTAAGAGGAGTAAACTTGGTGAAAATCGAGAGTCTCATGTGATGGTTCATGATGAAATTCTTTATTGCAAACGCATCTTCGTGAACTTCTTTTATCCAGCTGTATTGTTGATATGTTAGTTCATTTTTTTTGTCACACCCCCAAACCAAAGATGGCGGAAACGTCCGAGGGTGGAGGACTTCATGTATAGTATCACAACAACGAGTATAATAGTGCTCAAAGTAATAACAATCATCATAAATATAATTGAAAAGGTTACACCATAGTATGTGTTACATGTTTCAAAATCAATTACATTATGATGACAAAATGAACTGTTTGACGACTTAACGTCCCATCCTCAAAATGCTGTTGATTTCCTGTTTCACTGATTTCCTGAGAATACAAGTAGTTTTGAAAAAGTATCAACAATTAAGTTGGAGAGTTCATAAGGGTTTAGTTTGAGGAAAAATTCGTTTTCCTTGTAAATACGATAGAGTATGATTCCAGAAAATCCAATATTTTGCTTATAAAAGTCATGTAGTCCTAAATCTCAGGACCGAGAATATATGTGTGTTTTGTACTTATAATGTTCATAATGGTAATGTGTTCCCAAAGAAAATCCAATATTTTCCTTATAAAAGTCATGTAGTCCTAAATCCCAGGACCGAGAATATGTGTGTGACAACCGTCAAATTTCGGTCAAGTCAAAGTCAAACAAAGTCAACAAGTCAAACCGGTCAACTCATAAAACCCTTGTATGTTAGGTTTTACGTTATTAATCACTATAAAATTCGTTATTTTAATGAGAAAATCATCATTTGGGAAAGTTCATGTGTTTGATTTTCCTTAGCTTACAGTGCTAAACAACGAACCAAAGCGATAAAACAATTGCACAATCATCGGGATTGTGTACGACACTAAAACACGGTTTAACGGGGTTTACGAACCTTGCGTTGTGAAAGCCGACACTCAAATTAATCACAAACGAAACCTCTCTAAAATCGTTTTCACTCTATCTCTTTCTATTTGAAATCTCTCCCAAATCTCTCCAAATCTCTCCCGAATCTCTCTCAAAGTTACTTTAACTTTTGTTGTAATCATTTGGGTCATCTCGACCCTTAACCGGGTCAAACCACTTGAACGGGGTAAAAACGGGGTAAAACGGTAATAATAAGTAATAAGACCTTAAGGAACCAAAACCCCCTATTAGAAGCGAAAACTCTCATGAGAAGCCTCTCAGGACCGAAGCCTCTCAGGACCGAAGTCTCTCATGAGAAGCCTCTCAGGACCGAAGCCTCTCATGAGAAGCCTCTCAGGACCGAAGCCTCTCATTAGAAGCCTCTCAGGACCGAAGCCTCTCAGGACCGAAGCCTCTCATTAGAAGCCTCTCAGGACAGAAGCCTCGCATGAGAAGCTTCTCAGACAGCCATGCGAGAGGTCTCGCAGACGGCCCCTTTTTACCGGTTTTTCGACTACGACTTCGTTTTTCATTATTTTAACGTGGGATTTTCACCCAAAACTTTATTTTATAAACTAAGGCCCCAAATATATAAATCTCCAGGGTTTTTATAAAAATATATATAAAGAATTAGTGGTTGAACTAATTATTGAGGGAATATTTGTTTTTCTTAATTTATGGCAAAAGCAAACCACCCCACCACCTCACTCTATGGATCAGCCACTCTTTCCCACTACCCCTTGTCTCCTTAGGGGACCTTTACAACCCAATCTCCAGCTCTTCCCACGTTCTAAGAGCTGGAGGATTGATCCTCTCTCCTCATTCTCTAAAGTTCTTTCATTCTACACTTAGCAACCAAAGGACACTCTCCAAAATTCTCTCATCTTTTCTCTCAACTTCAAGAACTTCAAGGCTTTCTTCAGGGATTTCTTTCTTCAATTAGTAAGTATCTTCATCATTCATATAATTATTACACTCCATCCTACTCAAATCATTGATATCTTACACAAATTTCATCTTATTCGGTGTTAGATTCTCGAATCATCAAGACATCTTCTTAGTGTTCTTGGGTTGAATACTTTCCTCTCTCTCACTTTCATCTACTGAAACCACATAGGTGAGTTCATACCCCTACATTTACATGTTTTTTCTTAAGTTTTAAGGGGGGGATACAAGTACAATCATCAAGAACACAATTAAACTTTTTCTATCAGATTACATCAGAAAAGATGAACTTCGATCACGGACTGTTTTTGTCAACTTAAATATTTTAGTTTTCAAAACTGTTCCAGGTGCAAGTAGTTCAAACTCTTAGCTTTAAAATGGCTACTTGCACATCTCCATATGATTTTTCTACAATTTATGGTGATTTTTACAAAACTGCCTGTCTGTCACTTGCCTGTCATTTCAGAGGCAAACCGGACTAGTCTGTTATTATGAATATTTTCACCTCTGTTATAGATCACTAAAAATCATGATAAAATTTACGAACAAACTAGACTCATATTCCAAACTCTCAGAGTTTGCGGATTTGGATTTAGAGCCTTGATGATTTTTCTATAAATTTTCTAAGAACAGTAACAGAAACTGTATTCAACGAAAAGTTGTTGTCAATTTCATTTCACCTTGTAACATGTTGAGCAAGGTGTATATCTTTATGTGATTATATGTTATTGCAATATATGACATTTTATCTTAATATTTAGACACACACTCAGTTTACAAATGGATTTGGACATATAAAATATAAAGAATAACAAGTGTTATATAAATCAAAGTAACAACCGATACATTCAAACATTTAATAAACTATTTTGAATATAGTTTGCATACATACTACGTACTACCCCTTGGTTGATAAACTATAATAGGTATAGTTTATGATACATTACATAACACATACATTTAAAAAGGGTACATTTATACAAAGGATATTTTCATTAAGCAAGGTACGGCCATACGGTACCAAGTTTTCATAACACGTAATTCCGTTAATGACTTTGTGAGACATTTACTTCAAATTACCATTAAGTTCTGTATTGTAACCAGAGTCTCCTTGAGGGAGAGCGTGATAGTTGTGTATAGATCGATATTGGGTTGACAAACTCACACCTAAACTGCATGCAACAGTTAGACCGATAGGTCTGGGGTGACAAATGTCATAACATTTCCGACGCCTGAAGAACGTCTTTTAGGCAACTTGGTCAGAGTATGGTTATAATAAACTCACATAAAGTAATTAATAACATGG